TTCACTTTCTGACTCTGAGAGAAAAGAGGAAGGGGAGGGAAGGGCAGGGAAGGGACTTGGGGAGAACCAAGTCCCCTATGCCCCTGTGCAAAGGAATGTCCCTATGCAAAGGAAAGGTGGAAATGCTCCAAACTCTGTGCAGTTTAGAATTGTTTATTTTTTTCCTACAACTACAAATTGTTCTGAGTACTCGGAGAACCTTCTTGCAAACAGTTTGTTGGTTGACACTCAGTTCTTGCTGTTCAAAGTCATTATCCTGAGAGCACCTGCTCCAGATTCAGAATCCAGCTTGCACCATGAGGAGTAATCCTTTTTCTTATTAGAGTGGATTTCTGAGAAAGATTTATCTTCATGCAAGAAAAAAATTGATCACCATAAGAAGTTTTTATTCCAAATGTTTCATTTAACTGATTTGTTACTCTTATATACCTGGTGCTGCTTTTATAGGAATTCTTGCACATCTGGTTTTGATGAAAGATGAGTAGTGTGGTCTTAAACATTTGATCCCCATCTCTCTTTGCTTTTAGAGAGTGAAATGTAAATTAGGCCATCTGATTTACTGGACTTGTCCATTGCAGGAGTGGAGTTGTTGGGCTGCCATGTGGTTCTATAGCAGTGGTTCCCAACCTTTTTTTGACCAGAGACCACTTTGACCAAGGACCACTTTGACCAGGGACCACTCGACCAGGGACCACTCTCCAACATTAGTACCAAAAGGGTTACGAATCAGGTTTTGATCAATTTTAGATTCGGTTTGGTTATTTGGGGTGCTGTTTCAGAAATAAGCCACATGGTGGGCATGATCATACCTGAGCCAGGTATGTCAAGAGTGCTTGAGTCTTTAAGAACCGTAGCCTGGCATAATGTTCCAGTAGAAAGCTAGACATTGAGCAAGACTTGGTGTCAAATAAGATATATTGGAGAAATATCAGAGAAATAGGTTTTTTGGCACACCTGTCTGACTATGGAATGACTATCTGAATTCTAAATAAGTTCATTTGAAATCTGTGTTTTGACCTTTGGATGCTATTTTAAAATTCTTCCAAGTATTTTAAGAGTTTTAAAGGCTGATTTGCCAGGAACCTTCAGTACCTTACCTACTACATTCTTGTTTAGACAGTTCTGTACAGAACTGCCAAAAAACCCCCCTATTTCTCTGATATTTGGAACATGTCGGTGGTGCTTTGAATGCAACTTTCCTGATTCTTGGAAGGGGGCTGGACTGGATGGTCAACTGGATAGTCTAACAGCTACTCAAAGTTGTGATTTCCTGGAGTGTTATGCATCAGCCTTGATTTTCCATCCACTACGTGGACATGAAACATTTTAACCCACTGCAATAAGTCAGCTGGGTCATTTTTGTCACCCAGAGTCATGTTTTGTTGCAAAAATCATATAGAACTAGTTTTGAAAGGTAGAGATCTTATATCATTGTCATCTGAAAATATGTAAGTGATGTGTCCTGGTTTCAGATGCCACATACAAACTTTTTTTTAACACACACAAAAGTCTGGGAGAAAAATTGTCCCTAAAATTGGCAAATTTGTGTTGGCTGTATTTGGAGAGAGGGCAAAAAAGAGTGCTGACAATTACACCAAACACGTTTCACAAATGTTATGGTTTCTGTGGGTGCTTGGCTTTTGAGGAATACCTTTGATTCATGTACCCACAAACCACTTCTGTGGATATGGGGATTTTTCTGATGCCATGCAATAGTTAGTATTCTCATTAGGTTTAGAAAATACCCCAGATTAAAGCATTATATTGAAGATGTTTTAAAAACCGACCTGGATCTAATTTTTTTTTTCTGTATAGAACCTAGATTGTTAGCAGTGATGTGTTGAGGCGGAAAACCCACAACATTTCCCTTTATATCAACGAAGAAGATTTTTTTAAAAAAGCCTTACCACATGGTATATTGTCATGCCTCTGCTCCTTTTCGTTCTTATGTGCAAATTATGTTGTCTACTCTTATATTTTTGTCCTTAACATCTTCCCACACTTTCCGTCTGTGGAGCACTGTAATCTTCCTTGTTGCATGTCCTCTGCATTCTGATATTTCCTCTAAATATCATAGTTACAATTTAGGAGGCAACTTGGGCTCACTTGCATGGAGAAAGCCTACTATTTTCCCCTCATCCCTTTCTCCATTTGCTCTGCTTTTGCAAGCATGGCCTTATACTAAATGATTACTCTTGGTATGTGTTTTGGCAGGAAGTGTATGTGGATTCTGCTTGCCCCTCGTGTCCCAACATCATTTTCCTCTTAAAAGATTTTACAAGGAGAGATTTTGTACACAAAGCAATCTTAGATTTCAATTTGTTTCCATTTATTTCCTGCCTCTGTTCCAAAGAACATGGTAGTGGTATACAAAGGGAAAGGTTGTATTAAAATAAACATGCAGGTCTTCTCCAGCCCCCAGCATGTTAAGTACAGTAAGAATCTGAGCTGAGACCTTAATCCATTGCTTTCAGTGGAATTCTTTCTTTTGCATCCTAAATTCTGGTCATGGCTCTCAATAAATGTAAAAATGGCAAAGCAACGGGCACAACGGGTCCCAGCACTAACTGCTGCTCTGGGACCAGAGTGAAGAGAGGGGCCAGGAAGACACTTCCATCTTGTCTCCTGCATTATGCTAATTTAATATAATATATTGTATATACATATAACATTGATAATATTATAATGTAGTACAATACAATCCTACTAATAATAATATGTTTATCTACTCACATTGCTGTTTTCGAACTTCTTGATAAGCAGAAGCTGGGCTAAAGGCCAGGAGCTCACCCTGACCAGTCTTTGAACTGTTAACCTTTCGATTGGCAAGATTTACTGCAGCTGGTGGTTAGCCTGCTGACCTAAAGCCTGACCCTCACATGTTAGAGTGTGATCAAGATGGCAAAAATTATTAATGAGGAAGACTATATAAGCTAGAACACTGCTTCTTAAACTGTTGGTTGAGATCTCAAATGGAATCCCCTTGACTTAGTGCTGGGGTTGCAAAAAAATCTGGCAACAATAAAAGGTTTCACAACCCCACAAGCTCTGAGGATGCCTGCCATAGATGCAGATGAAACGTCAGGAGATAATGCTTCTGGAACATGGCCGTATAGCCCAAAAAATCTCACATCAACCCAGTGATCCCGGCCATGAAAGCCTTCAACAACACAATAAAACGTTTCTAAATGCCACCTAGACATTTACATTAATCTGTTAGCAACAGTGTCCAGCATTTAAATTGGACTGCAGATAATGCTGCAGCTGTACTTCATAAAAAGATTAATCGGTCTGTTTTGCAAGCCTTCCAAGTGCTTATTTGCTATCAGTAAATGTTTGATATTTATATGCCTATATACTCAGGGTCATGTAAACATTTCTCAGGCAAAAATGTTTAGCGAAAAGAATTTATCAGGCAGAAAGGCACCACAAATAGAAAATGTTTAAGAAGTCCTGAGCTGAGAAAATGCTGCAGCATTTTGCATTAGCCTGGACCAACTGAGAAGGATAGGATTTCACCCATCCTCTCCCCGCAAGTTAACTGATTGTAGTATTTTGAACATAGTTTACAACAATTAAATTGAACTGAGGACAAAGGTGGAAAGTGGGAAAAAAAGCAAGAAACTGGAACACTTTAAAATCACTTGAATGAATAGTGTGTGAAATGATTAATCAAGACTTTCCTATCAAATTTGGACAGATGGGACTAGTATGCAACACTTTTTTGTGTTCAGGGGTAGATCTGTCCTAATTTTATTAAGTGTGGGATATTGGGCTTCAACGTAAAGCTTTGACATTTGCCGTATATGTGTTCTGTGATCCTCTCTGAGTCCCCTTCAGGGTGAGAAGGGCGGGACATAAATACTGTAAATAATAAACGCTGTTTGACCTCAGGTGTCATGATGATATCTTTGTAACCTTTGAGCGTATATGCTGCTTGTGTTGGTCTTTCATACTTAATCAAAATATAGTTCTATTCTATAGCTCTGAATGTGATTTTCCTGCTTCTTGGCAGGGGGTTGGACGAGATGGCCCACGACGTCTCTTCCAACTCTAGGATTCTCTGATCAGAGGAGATAGAAAGAGAAGTTCATATTTTCTCCCATTCATCTGTTTTCTTTAGGCCCTTCTACACAGCCATATAATCCAGAATATCAAGGCAGAACATCCCACAATATTTGCTTTGAACTGGATTATCCGAGTCCACACTGGCAAATATTCCAATTCAAAGCAGAAAATGTGGGATTTTATTCAGCTATGTAGAAGAGGCCTTTGACAGCCTTCCCATGATATTGTTCCCCTCCCAGCTGGTCATGCTTGTGATTTGGAGCCCAGATGAAATAAAAAGATCCAATAAGAGTAAGAAGAGCAGGCAGCGAATTAAATCACACACAGGCAAACTTCATGTTTGCTTAAAAATTTCCTCCTGTTTTCGGCAAGATCGGTTGAGATCGGTATCTGAATACATTGCCGTCATGTGTACTACGGGGGATTTATTCTGCAATAGAGCAGAAAATGTGGGAGGCATAACCTGTGATGGAATATGGAACTGAGAGTTCTGAGTGTGTCTAATATTTGCATTGTGCTCATCGACATGCCGTTCTGGCAGGGTGCTTGCTGATCATACGCAGATCCACCCCTTTTGCTGTACAATACAAGCATAGTTGCTTGCTTTCTCAAAATGTTCACTATTTTTGTTAAAAAAAACCCCTCGTATCTTGCCCTTTCAGTATAGTTTAGGACTCTGCACAGCTTTAATACAATTTCAGTGTATTCTAAGTGTACAATGTGTAACACGTATTTTTAAAAGTACGGCCAGCCCTCCACATATATTTTGATTTTGAGTATTTGTGGATTTCATTACTACCTAAAGCACCGGTTCTCAACCTTCCTAATGCTACGACCCCTTAATACAGTTCTACATGTTGTGGTGACCCCCAACCATAAAATTACTTTTATGAAAATGACTTTTCTTTCTTTTTCATTACTGTTTCCTCCAGCTTGACCTTACCAAACCAATAGAAGATCAGGGCCCATTAGATGTGATCATCCATAAACTGACTGATGTCATCATTGAAGCTGACCAAAATGATAGCCAGGCACTGGCATTGGTTCATAGGTTCCAGGTGAGTAATGTTCCTGTTATCAGTTATTTGTATGTTTTAGTGCTCATTGTTTACATTCAAAAGTGTATGTAGTTTCATACAATAATGTTCCAGTATAACAAACGCAGGGTAATAAAAACACAAAAGCAGAAAAATAATTATTTTAGAAAAACCTCACAACCTCTGAGGATGCCTGCCATCGATGCAGGTGAAACGTCAGGAGAGAATGCTTCTAGAACATGGCCATATAGCTCGAAAAGCCTACAACAACCCAGTGATTTCAACCATGGAAGCCTTCAATAGTACAAAATAATAATAATAAATTTATTTAAAAGCTGACCAAACCTTTTATTTAAAAAAATATGATTTCTAACATAATGACATACATTTTCAAGATGTTTGTCATTTCTTGTTATGTTGTCATGATACACCTACACATTGCAGCTGACACATTAATGTGTCACAACACACAAACTGGAAAGCTCTGCCATAATAAATGCATGGCTATTGTACTTGTTAGTCATTTATCTTCAAAGTTTCTGTACACTCATCAGATGTATCTTATGTATCCTTCCTGTGAACATTGAGGACAATGGTTCAAGCAATGGTGAACCAATAGTTTTATGTGGTTTTTTTTTATGTCAGAAGCAACTTGAGAAACTGCAAGTCGCTTCTGGTGTGAGAGAATTGGCCGTCTGCAAGGACGTTGCCCAGGGGATGCCCGGATGTTTTGATGTTTTACCAACCTTATGGGAGGCTTCTCTCATATCCCAGCATGGGGAGCTGGAGCTGACAGAGGGAGCTCATCTGTGCTGCCCCCGAATTCGAACCTCCGATCTGTGGGTTTAACCCATTGCGCCACCGGGGGCTCCTTGTTTTATGTTGATTTCAGATAGTTGTGACTCTCGTAGTTGGGAAGACATTGAATAATTTTAGCAAAAAAACTTAGGGGTAATATTGCAAAACTAGCAGTATTCACAAGATGTTGTGGTATTTATAGCAAAAGGTGGATAAAGAAGAATAAGATTAGGTATCACAAGTCATGCAGTTGTTACTCTTGTAAGTAAAATACGCAAGGTTTTATTCTCATAGCTGTTTCTTGCATTTCTTTTGGGAGGTATAACTTGACCTGGATATCGAGAACTGCTGCTTTTGCGAATTCTGAATGTAGCATTTTATGTTGCTGAGGTCTTTCTTTCTTTCTTTCTTTCTTGAATTATACCCTGGGGACAAACTTCAAGGTGAAACCTATTTAAATAAGCCGAGCTGTTCCAGTTAATATATCCATAATCGGGCAATCTTTACACTTGCAGCCAAAGTTTTCACTGATGCTCTTGTAGCTTGTTCTTGGTTGTGTGAGCTCAGAGTATTAAACAGCTCAGCTGGAAACAAGCACTTAGCTGTTGGTTTTGAAGGGAGGGAGTTATTTAAGGAAATAAATATGGGAGGATCGCTGAACGCTGCTTGCCTCTAGTTGCCAAATTTCAAAAAAACAAACAAAAACAAAAAACAAAAAAGCAAAGGAACTGTAATTCACAGAATAGATTCTCCTTATTTGTTTGTTTGTTTGTTTGTTTTTTCGTGTCAGGAGCGACTTGAGAAACTGCAAGTCGCTTCTGGTGTGAGAGAATTGGCCATCTGCAAGGACATTGCCCAAGGGACATGCGGATGTGTTACCATCCTGTTGGAGGCTTCATGTCCCTGCATGGGAAGCTGGAGCTGACATATGGGAGCTCACCCCACTCCCCAGATTTGAACTGCCAAACTTTCAGTCAGCAGTCCTGCCAGCACAAGGGTTTAACCCATTGCACCACCGGGGGCCTCACTTATTTGTTGAGGGGCTCTCAGCAAATGCAACTGAGTCTATCTGTGGTTTATGTCTCCTCTTCTATATATATATGTATGTATAACTACTTAAACCAAATACAAAAGAGCCAAGATTTTCTGCTTTTAATCATTCAAGCTGAGTTTGGAATAAATTACATTTTTAAACTACAACTCCTAGATTGAGTCAGCATGGACAGCTGGCTGGGGTTTTCTGGGAACTGAAGCCCCCAAAAGTAAGTTTTCCATATTTCAAATCAGCATAGAGACCTTTGTAATGCATTGTAGAACAGTACTAAAAAAGGTAAAGGTAGTCCCCTGACATTAAGTCCAGTCATGTCTGACTCTGGGGTGTGGTGCTCATCTCCATTTCTAAGCCGAAGAGCCAGCGTTGTCCGTAGACACCTCCAAGGTCATGTGGCCAGCATGACTGCATGGAGCGCCGTTACCTTCCCACCGGAGCAGTACCTATTGATCTACTCACGTTTGCATGTTTTCGAACTGCTAGGTTGGCAGAAGAGAACAGTACTAGATCTAGAACAGTACTAGACCTATTCAATTTATTTGCAATTCTTTATTCAGGTTAACGTCCCCTTTCTTCTCAGAATTCACCATACTCCGTACACCCTCCTATAGTCTCCAGTAGTCTTTGGGTGGATCTACACTGCCATATAATGCAGTTTGAATCAGCATTATATGGTCAGTGTAGGCCCATATAATGCTGTTCAATACCAATGTCTACACTTACTATATAATGCAGATCAAACTCCAGTATATGTTAGTGTCAGTCCAGCCTTGGTTCCTGTATTGGTTGATGTAGAAAATCTCGGCTCTTAATCATACAGAACTGACTGGCCAGTAAAGGTGGTCCCAGTGGTGATCGGCACACTGGGTGCAGTGCCTAAAGACCTTGGCCTGCACTTAAATACTGTCGGCACTGACAAAATTACCATCTGCCAGCTGCAAAAGGCCACCTTACTGGGATCTGCACACATTATTTGCCGATACATCACACAGTCTTAGACACTTGGGAAGTGTCCGACATGTGATCCAATACAAGAGCCAGCAGAATGATCTTGTTTGCTGTGGACTCATCTTGTTGTATTTCAAATAATAATACATAATACATCATACATAATAATAATAATACATCACACAGTCCTAGGTGCTTGGGAAGTGTTCAACTTGTGATTTTGTGATACGAAATCCAGCATATATTTCTCAGTTGCTGTGACATACTGTGTTTTTGTGTCAGTAAAATAATAATAATAATAATAATAATAATAATAATAATAATAATAATCTTTTTTTATATCTCACCACCGTCACCCTGAAGGTGGCTTACAAGGCACTCCAGGGTGCACATATAACATACAACAGATAATACCCTATACCTCTTTCAATTTAACATGATAGTCATCTTCCAGGAGCCATAGACCTTTGTCATAACTGGCAGGAGCACTAAATGCTCATCAGTAACTTGGCATGTACATATCAAGCTGCTATAATTAGGCAGTTGGATGCACTCACGGTGCACAGATACATAGCAGACTTGACAATCAGTGGAAAGAAGGACTGGAGATGCTGGAAATAGTTGGCATGCCAGATAGAGGAACCAAATATCCCTGCAGTGCAGATCATAAATACTCAGTTTAGGGTCATAGGAAAGTTTTTGTTCTCCTGATTTCTAACCTATATTTGACCCAAGGCTTTTTGCAATGAAGGAGAAAAATAATGATCCACATGGCTAACTTTGCTGTTTCCAATTTGATTGTGTTGTGACAACTTTGGCAATGCCACTTAGACATTTACATGAATCTGTTAGCAATAATGTGCAGTGTTTACAATGGGCTCTACAGAAAATGCTTCAGCTGTACTTTATAAAAAGGAAAATCAGCCTAGCAAGCCTTGAAAATGCTGATGTATTAGCAGTAAATGCTTGACTTTTATACCTATTTTATATACCTAAATACCTGGGATTGTGTTAAGAATTACTCAGATATAAAGGGGTTTCGAGTGGAAAAAAGTATAAGAATCCCTGGTCTAGGTGATATACAACAAGTACATTTTAAAATCTTTTTTTTCCCATAGCAGCACAATTTTGTTTTTAAGGCAAGAGGAAATCGGTGGGAAAAGTTTTCAAATGCTATTAAAAGTCCTGAAATGTTGAAAGGGGTAAATTACAGAGAAAAGGGAGAAGAGAACGTATAGGTGTGAGACAGAGGAAGTATCCAAGAAGAAAGTTTTATCAGAGTGGAGAAATGAAGAGAAGGCAGACAAGAGGAACTGAAGACAGTTAAAAATACAAAAAGAAGTAACTAAAACTGTGTGAGATAAGAAAATAGAAGGCAATAAAAGAAGTAGAACAGATAGAAAGAGTAGGGATATTAGGTAACAGAAACTAAAACCACTGGCAGTCTTTAGAATGGAGCTGGGAGCTGGAAAGAAGAATTAAAGTACAGTTAGCTGTCTGCTTTTGTAGATTTTACTTTTGTGGGTCAAAATCAAACCAGGAAGCCCAGTTCTACAAAAAGTAAGAAAAGACTGGGAAAAGGGAGATTAGTGGAAAGAGTAGAAAGACCAATTGCTTGTATAAAAGTTATAATAACCTGTTTCGTACAATAAAGTGAAGTTTTTTCATAATGATCTACATCAGCGTTTCTCAACCTGGGTGTCGGGACCCCTTTCATTAACACAGAAAGAAAGGACAAGTTATTGAGTCAAGATGAGTGGTCTTTGCAACGGTCACTTGCTTGTCTGCTTTGGTGAACTTGGTTTATCAGTGGAAAAGGAAGATACTGCTGTCACAGTCTGTGTCTTTGGCAAAACAGCATGGAGCACCAAATTTTCCTGCTGTTGGTGTCATTATTAATGAGCGACGCAAGATCCATGGTTATCAAATACCCTGCTCAGATCTTGCAAACTCAAGGTCATGGCTTCTTTCATTGAATCACTCCAGCAATAGGGCTGTCTTGTTCTTTCATCCTGCCTTCTACTTTACACAGTGTTCGGCTTTCGACTTTTCTTTTACAAATACCATCCATGGCACCAAAAACAGGTGGACACTGAGTCGAAACAAATCACTTCCTTCTGTTCTGTCTGTCTGTGTATTGTCTATACAAAGCGGCATTGAATGTTTGCCGTGTATGTGTACTGTGATCCGCCCTGAGTCCCCTTTGGGGTGAGAAGGGCAGAAT